CTATGTTGGCACAGGGTGGCTTGGGTGTCAGTCCTCCTACTGTGCTGGCACAGGGTGGCTTGGGTGTCAGTCCTCCTACTGTGTTGGCACAGGGTGGCATTGACCCCAATGCCTGGTTTCTCCCACAGGGTACCGACACATCCACCTATTCTCGAAGGATGGGGCTTCTCTCTCGCCAGCCACACTCTTTGTCCACATTCAGATCAAAAACCAGTGAGGATCGATTCCCTCATCACCAGCTTACGCCTAGAACCTGCCTTCCTGCTTGAAAGCCAGAGGCGTGGTTTTGAGGAAGGGGATGTTGAGGGCATCCTCTCAAGCAAGGAGAGCCTGTGGAATTATCATCATCCTCTCCTGGGCCCAGGATAGTTGGAACCTCCTCCAGTTCTGGGTCGCACTCGGAGATCTGTGGATATGAGAGGGGGTATCTATGTCCTTGGGGCTCATCCCATCATGAGTGGAGCTTGCACTCTTTGGGTTTTAGGCATGGGATCTTGCCTTGCCTAGATGCCCAGAGTCCTGCTGTGCCCTGGGAAATGGGGGGTCTGTCTTCGAGGTGGTGCTCTTGATCTGATTGGCCATTTTGGCTATACTGCTGACCCTGCTGTCCTCGGGGCCAAAGCCCTAGTCTCCTCTTCACTCCCACAGCACCAGGATCTTTGACAGTCTTACAGCAGCAATGCCCATTCTGACCCCATGGGCTCTCCTGCCCTGCACCCTTTTTTGGAATGGACCTATGTTCCACTCTTCCCTAGGGAGAGTGGAGACCAGGAGATAGGGGAGACCCTGAAGTAGTTTTTTGTTTTCCTGGGGATTCCTCAGGGGCAAATAGTATTACAGAACAATCTTATAAAGAATAAAGAGTTTATTTTGACATTTCTATCTCACTTTACTTCCTTGTCACTGCACTCCAGCCACAGGGAGGAGGGGGATGATTGTCCCCTGCCATGATTCAAGCCAACAAACATCAAGTATCTGTTCTTTGCAGGGCATCATGGCCATCGAAAGGAATATCAAGACAAAAGAAAGAGGCTTGCGCTCAAGGAGCTAACATTCTACTGTAGGGTGCCCAAGAAGGAGAAATGTAGACATATTGAGTAACTGCCCCTAAGGCTAGAGAGAAGACTCCAACAGCTGGAGAGTAGGCCTGCCCCCAAGGATGAGAGAAGCTAGGAGGATAAGCTGGATTGGTGGTCTATCTCCCTATGATTTGGTATGCAGGGGTCTGCACAGGGTCATAGTGATGGCCCTCACCTTGGGGATACAGTAGAGGAAGGTCCTGGGGGAGCCTCAGGCCAGACCTCAGCTCTAAGGGATCAGCCATAGCCAGACTGGGTTCAAATCCACAAGGTCTCTCCAACTCTCCTGCCCATTTTTCTTTGCTGGGTTTGCACGAAGATATCAAAAGCATGCCTTGGGACCACACTAAACAACAATCAGAATTTTAAAAAATCAGGGCTGGAAGGATGGTCTAAATAAAAGAGGTGAAACTTAACAGGGATAAACAGATAGTCCTGATCACAGGTTCATAAAACCAACAGCAAAGCACAGGGCAGGAGAAATTTATTTGAAAATGATTCATGTTGTAAAAACTTGGGGCGGGGGTTTAGTGAACTAAAAGCTCAGAGTGCTGCACTGTGACAAAACTGCCCCCAAAAATCATGACATTGAATTGAGCTGCATTAACAGAAATGGTGTGGGGGAAAGGAGGAAAATGTAGGTGATTTAAAAACAAAAGATATCAAATATTTTTTTTTTAAAAGCACACTGTTGAGAAGGTGACAATTCCACCATGTTCTGGGCTGGTCAGACCATATTGGAGTACAGAAGTGGTCTCCAAACATCACCACTGGAAAAGTGGACCTGGTGGTTGGGGGGAAGGATCTGGAAACCATGCCATATTTGGAAAATAGGGATAATTAGCCTAGAGAAGGCTTACCAGAGATACTACCATCTTTAAATACCTCAAAGGAAGAACAATGTTGGCAAATGTGATTCAGAAGAAGGTGACATTTTGTGTAGGTGCAGGAGGCAAATTTCAATATAAAGAGCTTTCTGACAATCAGGTCCAACAGGATCTCTTGAAGTAGAGAGCTCCCTCATCAGGAAGTGTTCAAAAAGGACTGAAATAGATTCTTTCAGTGATGCTGTAGACAGTATTCCTATACTAGGTGTACTACGCTCTGAGGTCCATTCCAACCGTATGATTTTTCTAACCTTTATGGGTTACAACAATACCAAAGAACACACAGTTCCTGTCACTTATAGGGCTGGTCAGGCATGTCAACTCTCCTTGGTATATAGTTTATCTACTATAAGCACCTACTGCATACTAGGCACTGGGGATAAAAAGACAAAAATTAATCGTTCCTAGCCCTAAAGAAGTTTATATTTCTAACTGGGGGGAGAGGACAGTATGTATACAAAATTAAAGCAAACTTATTTCTGGGGAAGTACTAACAACTGGTGAAAATCAGAGAAGACTTCTTGTAGGCAGCACTAGTCAAGTCTGGAAGGGAATTGGGAATTCCAAGAAATGGAGGTGAGAAAGCATTCTAGGCAGGGGGGTAGTCTGTGCGAAGGCAGAAAATAATACAGGGAATGGTAAGTTAGTCAGTTTGGCCTAAAAATATGTAATCAGCCTGTAAAGACAAACCAAGGCCAGGACACAAAAGTTCTAAATGCCAAATCGGAGTTATTTTATCCTAGAGGTAACAGAGAGCCATTAAAGCTTCTTGAACTGGGGAGTGACATAGTAGTCAGGGCCATGTTATAGGAACATCGATTTGATGACTCTTTGGAGGTTGGATTAGAAAGGAGAGAGAGGCTGGTTGTAGGGTGTCCAATTTGGAAGCTACTGAAATAGTCTAGGGCAGAGGTGATGAGGGCATGAGCTAGAGGGGTTATGGTGTGAGTGCAGAGAACATGATGGATGTGAGAAATACTATACACGACTTGCCAACTGGATGTGAGGCAGGAGGGGGAAATGAGGATGAATCCCAAATCGGAAACTTGGGGGATTGAAAGAATGATTTTGGGGCAGTTAGGTAGCAGTGGATAGAGCACCGGTCCTGGAGTCAGGAGGACCTGAGTTCAAATCCAGCCTCCAACACTTGACACTAGCTATGTGACCCTGGCTGGGCAAGTCACTTAACCCTGATTGCCTCACTCCCCCTCCCCCTCCCCCCCAAATAAAAAAGAATATTTTGTCCTCAACAGAAGGTGAATGTAAGGATCTGCTAACAGGACAAGAACCCCAAGTCTCAGCTTTGTGACTTAATAGGGATGAATGCTGAGTCCTGAGGTCATCAGGCTGTACGGGAAGGGAGCATGTGGCCTGAGAGGTTCAACAGGGACCTTGAGGATGGAGTCCCAACCATGAGGCAAAAGCCTTTAGAGCTGGGATTCTTAACTTAGGGATCCATGAGCTTGTTTCCTAAATATTTTGATAATTGTATTTCAACATAATCAGCTTCCTTTATATCCCTATGTACTTCGATGCATTTAAAAACGATTCAGAGAAGGGGTCCGTAGGCTTCATCAGACTGTCAAAGGGGTCCAGGACACCAAAAATATCCAAGGCAGTATACGGATGTCTCTAAAAAATGACATTGTCAAGAAACTGAGCACTGAGGTGCAAGGCCTTTATGTTCTAAGCAAGAGCAGGGGAAGGGGGTCACCTGTACCTGACTCCAGTGGCCTTAAAGTCCACAACTCAGCTCACCCAGGAGGAATCATAGCATCTGTTGTTACACAGATACAATACTCTGCGACTTACAAAGTGCTTTCACCTTCCTTCCCTCATTTGAATCTCATTTCAAATGAGGAAAAAAGTGAAGTTATTTGACTTGCATCGCTAATTGAGAGCTAGACTAGTTGCTAAAACCCACTTCTCTTGACTCCCAAGTTTTGCCCACTATACCACACTGCCTGTCTTCCCTGGAAAGTCCAATGGAGAGACTCTGTCCCCACAGGAGGTAGTGAACTCGGCCGCAGAGGGTGACATGCCAATTAAGGGGCTAAAACTTCAACCTAAAACTGGAGGCAAGGAAAACAGTCACAGTTGCGCTGTCCCTACAATCCCCTGCTGTTGCCCCAAGTATCTTACGGTCTATGAGGGTCCCTGAGGCCAGGCCAGTTGGGCTTACCTAAGGCAGCCCTACCTGGACACCCAGGCACTGCTAACCCTAAGCCCCTCCAGATTCTAGGACCTGTCAACACCCAAACTGTAAAAGCTGATTATATGCCCAGCGCCTAGCCTGGCCTGGCTCAGGCTTCAGTCCCCTCCAGAGGGGAGCCCATCGGGTAGCCAAGGGGGCAGGAGCTCATTCTTGCTGGCAGCCACTCCCAGAAGTGACCCTATTCTGGGGCCTCTCTGTCATTCTTCTCACACTGAATGAGCCTTAGAGACAGCACTGGTTCCACCATGGCTGTAGAGCTGGGGAAGAATGAGGAAAAAGTCAAGTTTGCTTTGAAAGGGAGAGGAGAAGCCAAAGAAGTTTCCCAAGCTGGCCTGGCCTTGTGGTCATGAGACTAAAGCGCGAGCTCGGCCGGCCCCGTGGAGCTGCCATGGAGAAATATCCTGCCTTCCCTCAGGTCAGTGGAGGGTGCCCAGCCCAACCTCACCTCTTGTCCCAGTGCCACCTGATGCCGACAGGAATGCCAGTAAAGCAGAAGGGTTTCAGCTGCTTTATTAGAATTAAGGAAATTGCAATCACTCATGACCAGCCACACACAACTTCTTTATCCCTTGCTCCTCTGAAATGGAAGCTACTTCACCAAACCTCCCCCTCCAAAATGCCTCCACCCTCACCCCAATACACCAAGAAACTTGAGAACAAAAAGGTAGCGCTTCATTTCCTCCACTGGGCAGCATCCAGAGAAACTCCCCCAACCTGGAGGCCCCCCCACTATTCAGAGCCCACCTGCCATCATCCAATGTTCTCAGTGACAAATCCACCTTCCCCAGAAGGAAGGGGGGGGACACCCAAAGTCACATTTTTTCAGTTCTGCCAAGTCATACAGTAGAAAGTTACAAACTGGTGATCTTATGTCTTAACAAAGCTCTCAAAAGAGGACCAGACTCCCACCCATCTCCCACTCCAGCTGAGCTAGATATAAGAAGCAGGAGTTCTGGGAGGAGACAATTCTGTCTTCTCCCCAACACAGGGCATCACCTTCTTTAGCCCAAGTCTAGATAGCAACACCCTTGAAAGTCTCATCATTCACTTGCTTTGGGACCATCATTATTTAGTCCACTGCAGGTAGTCTGAAGCCTTCCTAGCCCAGCTCCATTATAAGTCCACTGAAGTCTACCTTTCATTTCAGTTTTTAATGGTTTATCTTTTGGGAGGTGCGGTTGGGATGCCTCAACACACACAAAGGAACTTCCATCTAGGCTCCAGAGTGGCCTAAGCCAGAAAAAAAAGAAGGAAAAGGAAGCTGGAGGTGGGTCAGAAAAAGCAGGACTTAATTTTCCCTCCACAGACTTGAAGGGCAAACAGTAATGCTTTAGTGTGTCCCCACTAAACTGAAGTGGACTGGACTGGTTTGTTTTTATTTTTTAATCTTGACCTTGGAACAAAGCTTCTTCAGAATAGGACTCATGCAGCAAAGGGTAACTGGGGGTGGTGAAGGAGCTAGTATCACAGGAGGCCTTCTCTCTCAGGTTTCTGGCTCAGGCAAGAGAGGACTTTAATTGCAAGTGCAGGTGGGAGCCTACCAAACTGTACCATAGGATCAGCAGTCACGTAGTGAGAGCAATTCCAAAGAAGTCTTTGGAAAAGGATGTGTTTAAAGTCAACCTGGGTAGCAATGTATGAGGCCAGAGGGCCAGGGCACCACAATAAAGAAGCAAAAATTCACAGGAAATCACAGGATGCCACCTGGGTCCATTAGACCCCTTTTGGTAAGCCCCCCTCCAGGGATGCAGTGGCACCATTGACCCTCAGCTTCCCTGGTTACTCCAAGAGCTGGAAGGAGGACCTGGGATCTTACAGGGGTTCTTCCTTCTGGGCTTGAAATCCCAAGGATGGGGTAGAGAGTGGGATCAAACTCCAGGGGCTGGTTTAATAACAACTCTATGCTGACTTTCGAAGATCTAGATGAAATGGCACAGCAAGCAGAAAAGGATCATGGGAATTCAAAGTCTTGGCATTTTGATCAAATGATGATTCTATTCATGAGTAAGCCAAGGGACTGGTGTTCAGGATTTTGCACCTGGCCACATGGTGCCAACTGTATAAAGGCCTTAGGCTCCACAGTCCTGGAAAGACACCTTTGCCAAGCGTTCTGTATATTCCTGGGCCAGTGGAGTTAAGCACCTGAGTTTCCATTTCACAATCCAGGCTAACCAAGATGAGCAAACCCTGAGAAAGTGTGAGACAACTGAAAGAGATTCCCAGAATCCCACACACACCTCCCCTACCACGGTCTTGTCTGAGGTGGTTCAAAGCAGGTCAAAGACAGGACTTTCCCTTTTCACCCGGGTAATCGGGTTTGTTAGTTTTTGGTGGACTTGAATCTCGATAAAGACCACCAAGTCTGGGACACCTTGGCTTCCTGCTCCTCCCATTTAATTTTCCATGAGAACACTGCTGTCCAACAGGCAGCTGCTTTGATCTCAGCAGCCTTTAAGGGGCTCAGACCCACTATTATCCACTGGGTCCTGAAGTGATGAGTGTTCTTTTTAAAATCATTCACAGGGTAGGGATGGAGGGGTAGGGGAATGAAAGGGTAGGGCTCCAAAGACCTTTGAAAAAACTTAACTCCAGTGCTGCGGGGACTTTGACCCATTCCTTTAAGTCTACAGAGGGCAAGCAGGATTTCCATTAAGTCCCAACAACACCCAAACACATCGTGGCCAAGTTCATACAAAAACACCCCTTGCTTCAGAACCGTCCCCTGAAAGTGTCAACCAAACCCATACCTTGGAACAAACCCCTGACTGACAAAGGTGGCTTCAGTCAGTGGGACCAAAGATGGCCTCGCCTGGCCTTCCGACTGAGGTTTCACTTTCACCTGAAAGAGCCCAAAAGGTAAAAGTAGCAGGAAAACCCCTGTACATCATGTTCTCTGTCCACCACTGAGTTTTTTTCCTCTCTCTAGAACAAAAACTATGAGATTATACTTGGGTGAAAACAAAACTTGGCGAAACAATGCTCCCTGGCCCACTCTGTTCAGCACCTCTGAAAAATGATTACATTACTCTATTTTTTGCAAGTCAAGGGCAATTAAAAGCATGAAACAACCCAGCACTGAAATATAGGCCAAGACAACAGCATGAAAAACCCCTTTCTTTCTTATAGTTGAGTTGCCTAATCTGTCTAAAACCAACATCCCTCTCCCCAGCCCCAGCTGCTCCATGGGCTGCCCCCTGGGGAAGCATAAAGGGGTACCCAGAATGGGCAGTGGGGAATGATTAATGTGATGAGAACAGCTGGAAGGCACGGGCTCACGACTGGTGGCAGAAAGGCATTTGGGTGAACAGCCCCATGGGCATCATCATCTCCTGACAGTTGTCACTCATGCACTCATGTACCCTGGGCAGCGGGTACATGCTTCTGCTAACAGGAATGGCACTGCTGTGCACTCAGTACTGTCCCAGAAGCTACAAGGAGGTCTGAGGTCCCCTTCAAGCTGACAGTCACACTGAGCAGAAGATCTAACATCCCACAAAGGATGCCAACAACTATCCACATAGCCCTTTAAAATGGAATCAACAAATTAGTTTCCTAGAGAGTAGAGACTGTAATGATGGTAATGCAAGGAGTAGGGAATAAGTTAAATCCTTACTGGAACTGCCCAGGAGAGCTGTGTCCATATAACTTTCTCCCCTGCCCATTTCCAACAGACTCCATGATGCTCTTTGAGCCTAGGTAGAAGCATTGGCAGCATGGGCCTGACACTCACTCTACAGCTCCATCCAAGGGACTCCATCGCAACCTAGGCCCATGTGCCATGTTACCAGCCCTGAGCACATCTGTAGGATTCAGCAATGACCTGAACTTCTCTTACTCTACTCTGCTCCTACTTAAATACCCACCCCCTTCACCTGTTCCATTCCCAAAGCAGACAGGAACCAAGGGGGAGGTTCCTCACACTTGCTTCACCCTTGCCACGCCCCCCCCAAATGTCAATGCCAATGCCAATGCCATTCTTCAGAGGGCAATGACTGGTGGCACTAACATGCTGACTCCCTGGCTCTTATTTTAAGGATTTTTGCCAGACACAGCTTTTCATTAGGGACCGAACATCCTTGTAAGTCTGGAACATGAAAGATATTTAAAATATTATATATATATAATATATATATTTTTATTATTCACCCGTTAACTCCATAATATGCCAATCATGAGCTAGTTTTCAGCAGTTACATTCCCTTGATCGTGGCTGCATGAGGATGTAATGAATTGGAAAACAGAGACCAGAGAAGCCGCCAGAGGTGACGGCCTACGCCATTGTGATACAATTGTCAAAGTCAGTGGCTGTTTGGTGTAGCTGGTTCGGTTCTGTTCCCTTAGCTGGGGATTCTCGCTTCCATGAAAATCAGACCAACAGCGGCGGGTTCCATGTCCTGCTCTGAATTCTCAGTGGCTTTGTCCAATTTTCATTGGCAGCTGATTACTGCAACACCAGTCCAACCTAGGGCAGCCAATTAGAAAGAGGTTAGATGGATGTTTCCCAGAGACCTGAGCTGTTCCCACCGCTATCCTGAAGATCCAAAAGAAATTCAATTGGCACAAAACTAGCATGACTTTGTGGGAGGGAGGAAACCTGCTTGGGGAACTGGCCTGACCTATTATTTTGACAGGAAGGACTAACACTGATATTATGGGACTTTTGCAGCAAATCTCTTCAACAAGGATTTACACTCTTTATTAAAACGTCAGAAAAAAGTGCTGGTTCTGGGTCCTACAGCAACACTGGTCAGGAGATAAAATTCTTCCGCTGCCCTTTTAAAATGCTGACTGACCAAACCACTCCCCCAGCAGCAGGGAGGGGCAAGGAGAGTAGGACCTAGGGAGAGGCTCCTGGGGATGAGACTTGGGGAGAGGCCAATAACCAAAGGCAGAGGGAACTGAACCCCAACCAAAGCAGCACCTGTAGAAGACAATACAGGGAGGTCTAGTGCTCCTGACAAAGAATTTGTAGGCCTTCCAGGGTGCCTCATTATTCACAGGAAACTCAAATGCCACCATGCCTAGACTTATCACAAATTATCTATGTGCTAAGGAGAACAGATCTGCCTGGTGTGCAAAAATGAACTTCCTCACTGCAACTCCCTTCATACATGGGGTACCCTGGGTAGCCATTTACTTCGCTTACACCTAGGCATGCTCCATGGCCATGGCTCTGCTCCCAGGGCAGCTCCAAAAAGCTCATGTGGACTAGCCACTAAAGTCCTAGGTCCTCTGGGCTTCCTGAAATGACCCAGAAGGCCCTAAAGAAGGATGAGGTAGCTCACCTGGTAGCAATACCCTTCCTACTTTGAGTTCTCTCTCTCTCTCTCTCTCTCTCCCCCCCCCTCCCTCCCTCTCTCTCTCTCCCCTTCAGGGATGGCCTTTACAAAAAATACAATTGGAGCAGGACTGGCTTTGCTCGTCAGGACATCAGAAAATTTTGATTTCTTTAGGCCCCAGGATGACAGTTCCTAACAAAGGCCTAGAGCTCAGAAAAGCCTGTGTCCCAGTCTATGGGGCTATCTACCGTAAGGACTGAGGAGCTCAGATACTGCCAGAGATGCCTCGGCCACAGCCTGGGCTCCTAACTCCTAACTCCAATCACCCAGAGGAGCTGCCGACAGGTTTGAAGAGCAGGGCCCATGGGTGCTTACCTTCTCTGCTCCCATGCTGGGGCATTTCCAATTGTAGAGATAATACTGCAGGTTGCCATCCCCGATTCCAAATTTCAGCTTCTCCAAGAATGTTTTATTTTCCATGAGATCCAGTGCGTTGAATACATCGAATCCTTTCTGTGCAGGTGGCAGCAAGAAGTGAGAGGAGTGAAAAGAGGAAGGCTAGCTAGGCCAGAATAATTATCCTACAATATTGTTTTCATCATGCCATTCTCTTGTTCATCATTTATTGGTGGCTTCCATTCGTCTAGAATATCACAACCAAACTTTTTGGCCTAGAATTCAAAGCCTTCAATCATCTGGTTGCTCAGCTTTCTGTGTTTTTCATTACTTCCCCAGCAGCTTCTTCCCTCAAACTGATCTCCTTAATATCACAGGCACAAGGCTTGCTCATCCTGGGCCTCTGCTTATGCTATATTCCCTCTACCAGAATGAAAACCTTTCTCCCTTATAAACCCATGTGCAAGATCAGACTCTAAACTCCCTTTAGTAAGGATCTCTCTAGACTCTGTTTTGATCAGTCCTCTTGTCTTTATGTCTTAAAAAAACCTCATATTAAGTGTATGATTTTGTACTTGGTGACATGCTGCTTTGTAATTGTTCTTAAGTCATTTCATAACATGCAATTGGTTTCCCAAATTAGATGCCCCACAAGTTCAAAAGCAAAGGATTGCGTTCTTTCTCTTTCTGGCACGTGCTCCCTAACAGTTCTCCATACTAGACTTGGCACACATACACACAGACTGAGCTGGGGGACCTACTCAGCGTCTCAAGGAAGCCTGAGCTACTATGCACACTCTCATCAGAAAAATGACTCACCAAGATAGAGACCAACCTGCCCTCTCCCACGATGGGGAAGATGGTAGGAGAAACTCTTTATTCTCAGGGTAGGCCTGGCTATTCAGAATCCTTGGCAGCACCTCCCGTGAGAACCAAACTCACTGAAATAAATCAGGAGGGATTCAGAGAGGCTTTCAGTTTGGAAAGTCCTTTTCTAGTTTTTGGAGGACTGCTTAGAAAACAGCTGTGATCCTACCTAAACAAGGCTAGAAGATGTCCCGGGCTGTAAAGCCTCCCCTTTCCTGCCAGCAGCTATCATCCTGGAGCTCTTGAGTGTCGGGCCCTGACTGCTCACCCACCCCTGCCTCTGCCAGGCCAATTCCTCACCAATTTGGCGAGGACCAGAGCGTCACTCATGAGGTCTAGAAGTGGGGTCTCGGTGTGAACGTTGTAAAAGGAATAAGCAGCTTTCAGGCTCTTGTGAATCGGGTGGTTCATGATGGTGGAGGGCAGAGTGTAGAAGCTCAGGAAGTCCGTCACCTCACCATCTGCATTCTGAAGGAAGAAAATGAAAACGGTCATACGTGGCAAAAGTGTGAGCCCCAAGCAAAACAGACTGCCCATGGTGACTTCAGGCGAGAGCTGGGAAAAGGAGTCAGGCCTAACTTTCTGGGCATGGTCTCCAGCTCTCCCTTACCCCATCTGGGAAGGGTAGGGTCTAGACCAGTGGCCCTTTTGTTTCCCTGGCCCTGGGAAACAAAAGTCTCAGATGATTTAAACCAGGGCCAGGAGAGACAAGGCTGCATATCTTACCTCTAATACTTGTTAGGGATCATGGCTGGGGAGACTGCATGAAATAGTGACAGTAAAATGCTGCTAAGTATAGAAGGCAGGTCAGGTCTGGACTCAATCTTATGGATTTCAGGTTAAATTGGGACCCAGACCCGCAAAAAAAAAAAAAAAAAAAAGACCCAAATTTCTAGAAAGCTTTAAAACAGGAGCATCTTAACCTTTTTTGGGGGGGGGGGGGTGGTACCAAGGACCCTTTAGTCTGGTGAAACCTATGGACTACTTCTCAGAAGAATGTTTTAAAAAATAGAATACACAAGATTACAAAGGAAACTAAACGTACTGAAACAGTTATCAAAATATTAAAAAAAAACAACAACATAAGAACCTCTGCTCTAGAATGAGCCTAGTGTCTCCAGGGTTGGGCCACTATCCCTGCCTCACACCTGTCTCATATCAATTCAGACTTGTACCACTAGGGTTAGGCCAGAACCAGACCAACCTTGGGCACAAAATGAATTCAGCATTCATCTGGCTTGCTGAATTCTAATGCTTGTCACCCAGGAGAACACTGGTGGAGGCCTCAGAGGGCCAAAGATCATGGACCATCCCTCACCTCCACCACGAAAGTGTCAATGATGTTCTCCTGTGGGAAGAACCAGTGTTCCACCTCCTCCTGGCTCATGACGGGGGTCAGGTGGAATTGCTTCAAGTAATTGGTCAGGAGTTGGTGCACCACTGGAATGTCCTTCTTTTCCATGGGTCGCAACCCAGATGTTTTTGGAGTCTGAGGGGAGAAGACATGGTCAGATGGGCTTGTAGGTTTCAAAGAGAACCTAACACTAAGTTCTGTTTGCATCACCCAGAAATCAGATGTTGCCACAGGTATAATGTGGTGTTGTTTGGTTGTGTCTGATTCTCCATGACCCCATTTGGGATTTTCGTGGCAAGGATACTGGAGTGGTTTGCCATTTCCTTCTCCAGCTCATTTTACAGATGAGGAAACTGAGGCAAGCAGGGTTAAGTGACCTGCCCAGGGTCACACAGCTAGTAAATGTCTGAGGTCAGATTTGAATTCCAAGACTCCAGGCCTGGTACTCTAGCTACTGCGCCACCTAGCTGCCCTACAGTAGCTGACGAAAAAGATGTCAAATTCCTCTCAGAGCTAAATCTTTCCATAGTTATTTTCTTTGGGACAACTTCTTAGCAGAATGAAAAGGTGGAAGCAAATGCTATACTGTGATGTGTTTAGTGCCTTTGGAAATGGATCATGACCTTGGTTAGGTCCATCCATCTGAAAACGATTTGGTGGAGTTTACAACTTAGTCATTCTCAGTGACAGCCTGACACAACCTGTTTTCCCAAGACCATAAACTATTTTTTAAGATATCCTCCTTAGATAAGAGGCAGCATGGCACAGTGGATAAAAAACTGGCCTTGGAGCCAGAAAGACTTGGGCCTAAGTCCTGCCCTTGACAGGCAACTCTCCAAGACCATGAAAGTTATAGAGAAGGTGCTGACCTGCATCTGAAGAGGGAGGCTCCTTACTGGGAGTTCCCTATACTAATGAAACCACAGCTCCAGCCCAATTCTATCTCCTAGGTTTTGAAATTCTCTGCTACATCAGACCTAATTCTGACTCTCTGGGAAGAAAAAATCTATTCCCAGATCTAGGCTGGAGCTCCTACAATGATACCTAAAGTTCTATGCAGATCAAGGATACAGAATAGCAATGGTGGAATTTCAAATAGATGGTGAACACGAGTGACTTTTCTGAGTACTATACCCTACCTCATTGGTTCCCAGCATCTAGTGTTTGGTAGAATTATGGAAACCTACCACTAAAACAGGGGGGAGGAAAGACACATTTAGAAGGCCACCAAAGTATGTCTTCTGACAGACGAAGTGTGCTTGAACCTGTGCTGCAACTCATTTTCAGGACAGGGCATCAAGAGGCATCAGACTGGGAAGGGGAGACGGGTCATTAGCATCCGGAGTAACTCACATAACAGGTCAGGCATGTGCTAAATCTAGGTCTGCTGTTCCATCCCCAGCTTACACTACAGTGTGCATTCAAAGATACTTATCGATTGACCACTGAGTAGAAATTTTCTGGAGCCAAGATGGGGCTTTGAAACATTCCCTTTTTCTAGGATTCAGTGGCACTGGCCTCATTTTGCAAAACAACAACAACAAAAAAATCAACCAACCCTCAAGCTCACACAGAAAACATGGGCTCAAGACCTGTTCTTCACTACTAACTCAGGAGAGTGGCTTCTGTAAAATCACCAACTGTAAAATGAGAAGGCTGAACTAAATGTTCCCCAAGATCCCTTTCAGCTCTGAAACTCTACAATCCTATGAAAACTGACTGGTCACCCCCAGAAGAAAAAAGCAGGAACAAAATCTAGGGATTTAGATGCCTACTTGAAACTCTATTCATGAGCTTAATAATGTGCACTTAATTCATAAACATTTGGCTTAGTAGACAGGGAGCAATGTTATGAAGGTAGCAAATAACATAGAATACATTTGTTGGCTTGGAAATGCGTTACTGTGCATGAATTCTGTGGCAATAGATTTACTTACCAGTTTCTCCATCTTTTGTAAAAGGGAGTGGTTGGGCTATTTGACCACAAAAGTTCTTTCTACTTTGAACAGTCACAGGTTCTAATTCTTCTTTACTTAGACTAATATAAAAATGAACTGGTATTCTCTAAGTACATGGCAACTGATAGCGAGGCTTCTCTGCCATCTGCAGAACTTGGCTTTCAATCACAGCAAGCACCACCACCATCATGTTGACCAAACAGCACCTACCTCTGGTAGTCGGTATAACTTCATGGTGCGCTGCATGGTCATGTTCCTACTCAAATGTGAGAATTTCACTTCAATCAACTTCCGTGGGTTAAGGGACCGGTGCCAGTACCTGTAGAGACACAAGATGCCCATCTTTAGGGGATGCTGGCTAACATAAGAGGACAAGGACATGTAAGTCTCTAGACGGCCAGAAGATGGCATGAAAGACCCACACTCAACTTGGGATATAAACAAACATTTCCCAAGGACTGAAAAACAGGGCCATGCTTCAAAACATCAGATGGCTGTACCACATGCCACGAAACATACAGCGCTTTCTCTGTCTCTGTGTCTCTCTTCCCCAACTTAAAGACTAAAGCTCAAAAGGCAACCCTCTTGTCTTTCCACAGGAGAGAACCAACATTGTTTCTCCTGGAACTTGCGGTCAACAAAAAAGGGCAATTATTATTTCTACTTAATGCCACGTTAGCATAATTATCATCTCTTGAATTTATCTAGTGCTTTTACTTTTAAAAGGTGATTCATATTTTTTATTTCAATTTATCCAAATAAACCAATAAGGGAGTCAAATCCAAGTTTCTCTTCTCATTTTAAAGAGAAGTTGCTTCAAGTCAAGCAGCAATTTAGGGACATGGTAGGAACTGAATTCTAGGTTTTGGGAATCCCAGTTTAGGGTATGTATTGGGGCTTAGAGAAAGGAGAAGATCCTTGAGGTCATAATGCAAACACTCATCAGAACTATTCCCAGGACTGAGCAGAGTGAGATTTTTACCTGCAAGTGCCGACAGGTTTGGGTAGTACTACCCCAGCAGTGTAAACAGCCTGGAAGATGCCCTCCAAGTGGACTCTTCGGGTTATCTCTCTAATCAGCACTGGTGCCACCCGCTTGGAACGCAATTTCTTGTGGACACACAGAAAGTTGATTTCTACCATCTTCTTCTCTCTGCAGCAGGAAGGAAAGACCAAGTTCTTGAGAGAAGTAAGAGGCCTGAAGTAACAGCTGGAAATACCAAGCCCTTCTGGTAGAGAAACTTTTTCCTGCCCTTCTTTTATTAATTGATATTTAATACTGAGTAAGAATTGCTACTGTGCTTGGGTGCTGGGTGAGGAGCCAGCTTGCTGGATCTGATTTTATTCACATTTATCTCCCTTCACTTCCGACGGTCACAAAAACCACACTTCCCTGACTGGCTGGCTATCCTGCTGTCTTCCAAGGATTTCCCTGGCCTTGTTAATTCAGAACAGTTTAGGATATGTGTTCTTTGAGGGGAAGGTGAGAGAAGAGGAACTGAAGATGAATTCCATCCACCTGGAGAAATAGAACAATGGGGAAGCTAAGCTATCTGATTTCCATGGTCAATAATAATGATAATAGTTAGCATTTATATATTACTTTGATGTTTGCAAAGCATTTCACGTGTCACGGCCACATCTGTGGCCTTGGAAGTCTGTCTGGCTGTCTGGAGCCCAGTGCCCTCATCTATAAAATGAAGGTGTTAGATTAGATCACCTCTGAGGATTTCCTAGCTCTAAAGCCATGACCCTATGACTATCACCAGGTCAAGCCAGACAGGTGGGACAGTGCTGGGAATAAAAAGGACAGAGTTCAAACTTCAATTTCAAATGATCTGTACCTGGAATCTGGTATGAATCTTTGGGGGCTCACTTTGTCTTCCATTTCTAAATTTGCACAAATGAGAATTTATGGCTAGGTCAGGTCAGGTCCTTAAAGAAGTTGTCCTCTCCGTGCTTCAGCATGCCACCTTAGCTGGGTACTCTCCAGATGCTTCTAGTCACAAATGACTGTAACTGAAGCATTGCAGAGGAGAACAGAAGGTTCTTGTTATGGAAATGTCCCTAAGTTTAGATGTCACCTTTCCCTCCTCCAATGTTTCCTTGGCCCATTCTCTCTAAGGGAGAATGAGGTGAACCTGCCTGGGCAGCAGTGAGACTTACGTGTCATAGATATGGATGCTTGCAGGAATGGCACTGATGAAGCCCACCAGTTTCTTGCTTGAGATGACTCGGACTCCACAGTGCCACTGGGGGAGCCAGCCCGGGGGTCGAAGAGCCCTGGAAGGTAAAAGAGAAGACCCTGCTGGGCTGTGCCATGACTCCACTCTTAGCAGCCCACAGTCCTCTATCCAAGGGCTGCATCTCTTCAGGGGAGAATTCCCTCATGCAACTGGAACATGAGGCAGCCCCTTTTGCCAACTCGTCTCTCTTGGCTTTATCATTTCTCACTGAATTAGAGATTCACCAAGAAGAAATTATCCAATTCTTTCTCACCTACTCTGCCAATCATATCCTCTACTGACTACAAAGCAATAAATATTATAATCAATAAAGGGCCTTTGCAGAAAGGCTTCAAATTTAAATGAGAGGAAATAACTTAATCCTAAAGAACATATAGATCAAAGAACAAATCACAGAAGCAAAAGATCACTTCAGCAACATACCAAAGCTTTGGGGATGCAGCCTACTTACTTTACCATTTCAAAACAACAAATGAACAGAAGGTTCCTTTCAGTGTTTCACTGACCAACAATTCCCTATGGCTAGTGGCTAGCCATCAGTTTCCTTTAGTCTCTTTTTTTGTTTTAAACAAAAGATAAATTTTTGTATTAAAATAGCTAAATTTAAGGAAACATAAAAGCAGATGAAACATTTAGCAAATTAAACATTTTCAAGCAAACAAAGGCTCAGACATCATAAGGCATCTTCATACTCCTCAAATGATATAATGTTCCTGGGCCTGTTGACTTAGGCCCCTCTTTAAGGCTTTGCTGCTTCCCTCTCACTTTCCTCAATGGTCAGTCTAGGCCCTGGTCAACAAAAGATTCTGCTAATTAAATTAAGGCTATGAGGTCCCCATTTTCATACAATTGAGTATACTTCTTTAGCTGCTTAAAAATGGAGGGGGAGAGGGGAGGAATTCCCTTTCCTTTCCTCAAAATGGCTTTTCCACTTGTTTGCTCTTTTAACAAAACTGAGGGCACACAAACTCTGCCTTCTCCTAAGGTTCACTGTCCATTATGACAGCTTCAATGACTCTACTGATTTCAACACTCCATTCAAGGCTAAATTCTTCCTCTTTCACTCAGGCTTAGGGTGGGCAGGTGATTTGCATTAAGCACTGAAAATTACAACATAATTCTTTCCATTTAATTTGTCATTCTGAAGTGGACAGCAGTTCCTGGTGCCCAGAATCTAACCACCTCCCACTCTACCTGCCATAAGAAAGCACTCAAGACTCACCACAAAAGGAACTCTGGTGAGTAATCAAATCGGAACATGTTGTCATCATCTTCCACATAATTCTCATTCAGGAGGGTATACAATTCTTTCAGCTGAAGAGAGACAAGGGGATCTATTAAAGAGCTGTCTTTGCTACACGAGGGTCCAGGCTTGAAAACTGCTTGGCCTCCTTTTATTTGTACAAGGCTTGACACTTTCAAATATGAAGATGAAACTTTGAACTCTCTTTACCCCAAGTTTGGCAGAGATTCTAGAAACAAATGCTGTAGTTACCGATGGAAAGCTGAGGCACAGAGGGATAGAGTAGTGGTCTCAACACAGGTTAGTGATAGAGTAAGAACACCATTCAACTTGAGTTGAATCCACTATAACAAAAGAGATTTGTGAGTATTCCAATTTACTATGTGTAAATGTTTTAGGGAAAACTAATTCTCAGAAGATGGTTTTAAAAAGAATGTTCTAAGTAAAATCCAACTAATTTCCACTATACCCTGGTTACCAGTCTTTGGCCCAACCTGCTTTCCTGTGGAGTTCTTATTTGTTACCTGTTACCAAGAAACCTGAATTTGGCATTAAAATCCAGAAATGCAGAATAGTCTCTACCATTATTTCCAAAGATCCTAATGAGTAGAGATGCCTCAGTGGAGTAAATATGCTTTGGGGAATTCAGGGTAACATGAGGGCAGAGAGAAACCTTCATAAAATAATCAGTCAGGTACAGACTAGGAGGACAAGGGGGAAAAAGACATTTGAATAAGGCAGCAGAGGAAGATGGCATTCAATCTATCAGAAAAACCAAGACAAGTTCACAAGAAGTCTTAGGAAGTCCCTGAGCAAAGCATAGAATATACTTTGAATCTCAAGTTTCTTTGCTTCAGCTGTGAAAGAGGATTTCCCCAAAGAAGTCCTGAGTAAAAGCAATCTCAGGATGGTTCTTTCTCTCAGTTGGGGTTAGTTTCAGGCGTTACCCACTCTAAATATTTGCTAACTGGTTGGCTAGGAGACAGTCAGCTGGGTCCAAGGCCTACTTACCACTCCTCGATCCCCTAGGTCCAAGGCATCCCAGGTGAAGCCCTGGGGCAGGGTATAGGGCTCTTGACGGATGTTGTCTTTGTCAGGTTCCACGGGACCATGGGTATTCACCACTTCTCCTACAAGAAGAAAATTGGGATAAGCCTTTCTTCCTTTGTGCCAATTCATTTTGAGTCCCCTTGGCCTCTGGTGGGGTGGGGGGTAGAAGAAAGGTCTCAGCTCATAATCAGCTAAAGTAAGTTACTCATGTTTCTGATCCAGGAGCACACACTGTATCCCTGGAGTAGTAGCCAACTCCATAGCTATTCCTGGCCTGGAATCCCAGGTTGTCATGCCTTCACCTCAGGACAATTATCAGGATTCAAGATGGGTGAATTTTTAAATCCTTTAAAAATGTCCCTTTAGTAACCAAATAACAAATATTTGTCTCCAAAAACTTGGCATTTTCTCTCTTGGTCAATTTGGAAACTGCTCAATCCCTCTACCCCAGCCTACCACTCCAAGAGGATTTAGAAAGACTTCATTTCAACAAGGTTGTTTTTGTGTAAAGAGCTACAATGGCTTATAGGGAGGGCAGCTTTCTTGGATCAAACCATCTTTCTTCAGGCGCCAGGCTCAATGTTCTTGATGCCAGCTCTGGCTTTCAGAGACATGAATTAGTCTGTTAACATTGCCAATCCAGGGCCTTTCATTGTTCATAGGGTTCCTTCAAAAGTGGCCTTCCTATTGGAACAGTGACTTACTTCTCAAAAGTGCCCATGCTCTTCCAAGAAGTGACCCTCCTGGGCAGAGATCCTATACTACTGGCAATCTGTCTGAATTCTAATCCAAAAGTTCCTTTGAAGCACAATGCAGGCATGAGTTGTGCTCAGGTAGTACAAAAAGCCAAGGCCTCAGACTCTACCCAGACTTGTTCCTAGATGAACTCTGGTAAATCAACCAACTCACTCTGTGTATTTTGGTAAACCAGAGAATATATCATCAACCCTTGAGGACTGGGATTAAAAAAAAAAAGTTTTGTGGTATATATGCTTTCCCAACAAAGCAGTTATAAAAAAGCTCTTCATGTCACTTCCCTGCTCAAGAACCCAGAGAAGCACCTGTGGTCAACTGTATCCAACCTAAACTCCTCTTCCAGGCACTTAAGATTCCTTAAGAAGTGGTACAACTCTGACATCTCCTCTCATTACTTTACAGTATCTACTCCCCTTCCCCCCACCCCATTTCCATTTTCTCGTGTTGAACTATTAGCTAATCATGGACCCTTTATATTTTTGCTTATTTGTTTCTGAAACTTGAAATGTTCTGGTGTTTCTTTTTACCAACTTAAGCACAAAACCTGATGATTTACAATAGGCTAGCCCTTTCTCTTATGAGCTCATGGGCTGCTCTAATCCTCAAAAACCCTACTAACCTTCTTTGTTTCCCTAGGCCTGACCAGCTGTTTAAGAACCTTTGAAGCAAGTCAGCCTCTCCAAGGGGTGTTGTATAGAATCTGTGGAGGAGAAAGATGAAGAGCAGAAGAGGAACTATGAATCTGTTGCTGCAGTACTTGGTAATGGAACCAACAAACTCTCCCCAAAATCAAAATTAATCAAAAGGCTTTAAATTTTAAAAAGGGAGGGAGTGGGTAAGGAGACCCCCTTATATACATCACCTAAATTAGATAAGGGGAGAAGGGAATAAGTATTTATATAGTGCTTACTATGTGCCAAGCACTGTACTAAGAACTTTACAGATATTATCTTATTTGATATCTAGGTACTATAAAGAGTAGCCACAAAGGAAGAAAAGCAGCGGAGACACCTAGAAATTCATAAGAGAAAAAAATTCAAGAAAGAAGCCAGTAGTAAAAACCATGGCATTTAATGACCATATACATGCCCAAAGTTTTGGCAACAAACTAGAGGTCAGAACACGTGGCAGATACATATGATTTGGGAAAAATCCTCAACTATGGCTCTGGATGGTTATAACTTATTTAAAAACAAAACAAAATAAAACCCAAAACACAGGACAGGTAAGAGCGGTGAGTTGCGTTGTAAGTTAAAGCCATGTGAAGAATCCAGGAAGCAGTGGGGAGAAGCATGACAGAAAATATTTCAGTGAAGGTCAAAGAAGAGAAAAACAGAAGTAATTTTGTCATTGGAGCACATACTACTACAGACCACCTGGACAGAAAGAGAAATAGATGAGTCTGGGAAAGAGAACAAAATGTTGGTACAGAGGCATGATATGGTAGTGATGGGGCAATTATCCAGACATCGGCTGAAGCACTCGTGTAAGTGTACTTGCGCTCTCGCGCTCTCTCTCTGACAAAAGCACGGCAGCTAATAACTTCTTGATTTGTCTTCTTGATGATTTCATCATTCAAAAAGTAGAGGAACCAACATGGGGAAATTCTATCCTAGATCTGATTCTCACTCTGGAGTGGAAGTTATGGAAATCCTAGAAGGAAGTAGCCATCCTGTTCTAGAATTTGTGATAGAGAAGAGCAAATCTGGGCAGAGTCTGATATGGAGCCTAGATTTTGGGAAAGCAGATTTCAAACTGTTCAGAGAAAAGAGAGGCAGGATTCCATGGACTAAAATGTTTCAGGGGAATTTAGCCCAGGAGGGATCAGAGATGCTTAAGAATGAAATTCTTTAGACACAAAAGGAAACAATCCCAATGAGAAGGAAAAATGGGCTATGTCTGAAGAGACTGATATGGCTGCACAGGAAACTCACCAACCAATTTAGATTTGAAAAGGAAACGCAGAATTCCAGAAAATGGAAGCAAAATCAGGTAACAGACGCTGAATGGAAGAATAGCAGCTGAGACATAGCACAGTCCTATAAAATAACGTCAGGAATGCTAGAGCTCAAAATGACATGACCAGTAGGGGAAAAAGCTATAATAGGAGAAAAAGGAAGGTCATGGAGGAGAAAAGGACCTTTGCTTGGGACAATAACTGACAACCAAGAGAAGAAAAGCTGCTCAATTCTTTTTGTTTTTTTTTTCTTCTTCTCTGCAGGAGAAAGACCCTTACACGGAAAATGACAGAACAAAAACAACCAACAGGAAGTTGATAGCTAAGATAAGTAAGGAGACTCTAAGAGAGCACATGGTTACTCTTGATAAATTCAAGTCACCTGGCCCAGGTGAATGACATCTTTGCATCCAGAAATAATTTGCAGATGTGGCTGCCATGCTACTATTGGTAATACATGAAAGATCACAGAAAATGAGAAAGGCACTTAAAGAGAGGCAAATGTCCCAATTTTCAAAAAAGGGAAAAGAACAAAGCCTGCAAAATATGGGTCAGTAAGCTTAACTTCAATTCCTGAGAAAATGAAAGAATGGATCATTACAGGTGAAGAAGTGATTACAAAGAGCCTCCCTGGCTTCATCAAGAACAGGTCATACCATACTGGACCTATGCCTTGTCACTGGACTCTGATGACTGGAGGAGAGAGCTAGGCTGATGACTCTGTGCAGCTCTGCCTCATTCAAATCAAATTCATGTGCATGTGAATACGTTTCCCTTGTGATGTCATTGGTCAGGACAGCTAAACTAGCAGATAAGGAGAATGCTGTGAATATAATTTACCTAGATTTTAGCAAAGCATTTGATAAAAGCACCTCGTGCTATTCTTATGGAGATGCAGAGATGTGGATTAGATAATACAATCATATGGATTTGAAACTGGTTGAATGTCCAGTCTCAAATTGTAATTGTTAGTGGTTCAATGTTAGCATGGCAAGAGACCCCAGGGAACTGTGTTTGACCCTTTTTAAACTTTTTTTTATAATGACTTGGATGAAGGCAAAGACTATAAATTCATCAGATTTGTAGAAGACATAAAGCTGGGAGAAATGGCCAAAACAACGGATAACAGAATTGAGAATCAACAGGACTGTGTCAAGGTGCAGCAGGGGACTGGAAAACCAGGGCAAATAAAAACAAGGACAGGCTGGATTTGGCCCTTTGATCATAGTTTGCTCACCTCTGGAATAGAGTATTGTGCTAAATTTAATAAGATGAAATTCAAAAGAGATTTATAAATGTAAAATCTTATACTTAAGGAGAAAAAAATCAGCTTCACAAGTGTAAGATGGAGAAGGTATGGTTTTAGACAGTAGCTGTTCTAACAAAGACTGGGAGACTTTAGTGGATTGTAAGCTCAATATGGGGCTACTAGGTGGCATAGTGGATAGAGTGCTGGGCCTGGAGTCAGGAAGACTGGAATCAAATCCAGCCTCAGACACTAGCTATGCGGCTCTGAGCAAATTACTTAACCCTGTTTGCCTCAGTTTCCTCATCTATAAAATGAGCTGGAGAAAGAAATGGCAAACCATTTCACTATCTTTGCCAAGAAAACCCCAAATGGGGTCACAAAGAGTTGGACATGAATGAAACTTAACAATATTAACAAAGCTCAATGTGTTAGCAGCATGATGTAGCAGTCCAAAAAAAAAATGAATGCAATAATGTGCTGCATTAAGATGGGACACATGGGCCTCCTGAAATAATAGAGGAAGGGACTATGGAGTCCCGTGATCATGCCTAGGAGACCCAGTTTGTCAAAGATCTCTTGAAAAAGTAAATCGAGAAGGATCTCTTGGGGCAGCTAGGTGGCATGGTGGATAGAGCTCCGGCCTTGGAGTCAGGATGACCTGAGTTTAAATTGGGCCTCAGATACTTGACACTTACTAGTTGTGCACTACTTAAGTGCAAGTCACTTAACCCTGACTGCCTCACCACCCCCCCAAAAAGCCATAGCCATATTTCAGCAGCCCAACCTAGGACTTATTCTTGATGCTGCCATGGCCCTGGCTACTGGACTGATGGCCTGGACTTCATGGGAAGCAGCCTGTGACCTTGGAATCCTCCAGGGATGACCCTGGTCAATACCTCCTAACCCTCCTCTAACCCTCCTGTGCCCCACCCCCATTAAAGTATGGCTGCAGGTATCTTTCTTTCTTTTTCTCCTTCTTTTTTTAATTTAAAGCTGAATGCAATGATCTAAGACAATTCCAAAAGACTCATGATGGAAAATGCTATCCACATGCAGAGAAAGAACTATGGAGTCTGAATGAAGATCAAAGAATACTATTTTCCTTTTTGTTGTTTTTT